GGAACTTGTGTAGATTAGTTTAGATGGACACACTGACCCACCAAGAGAAGCCTCATTGGGGACAGGAAGTCTGGTGGCTGCATCCTAGGAAAATTGACCAAGACTCATGGTCTCTCGCTCAGATAAGAGATCACCTCTAGTGGCCTCCTAGCAGGAAGACTCACTTCCCTCTTCTAGAAAAGCTCATGCAGGAAATTAACTTCTTACATTAGGTCAGTGCCTGATTGGGGGGGAGGGGGAATCCCAGAAAGCAAAGAGCCGCCAGAAGGGTGGGTAAGCCGATGTTGGCATTTGCAAACGGATTTCAGAGTTTTGTGGATTTAGAGCAAGAGGGAATCTTAGAGATCCAACAGTCCAACCCTTTTATTTTACACAGGAGGAAATTAGAGTATAGGGAGGTTAACTGGCAGGTCTTGACAACAAAGAGATGAATGAATGGGGAGAAAAGATTATTTAGCTCTCTCTTTGTACCAGGTTGGGGGATACAAGGATGAGAGAGGAATCCATTTCCCTCAAAGGGCTTCCATTCTGATAGGGAGAGTTGAACATATAGTAGAGTGTTATCTACTGCTCAATGTAAAATTTCAGAGCTGGAAAATCCCAAAGTGATTGCCTAATCCAACCCTCTAACACTTTTTCATGGTTTTTTTAAAAAGTTTTTTTTTCCCTAAAATTTTGTTGGACAAGCATTTACTGATCTTCGAGTGTGTATTAGTTGCTTACTATTAAATACATACTATGTGCCCAACATTGTTATGGGCTGGGGATAAGAAAGATAAAAACATATGTTCCCTGTCCTCAAGAAGCTCACCTTCTACGGGATTTAAGTTTGAGTTAGACAGACTTCGCAAAAGGAGAAGCATTTGGGCACAATTTTGTTACCCACTGGTAAATGTGTATTAAATGAGGGAGGAGGGGTAGGAGAGAGAATTCACAGGGAGCTCTCAATCTTGGGGCTTCCTCACTACTACAGCAGCACTAGTCTTAAAGACAGCTTTTTCAGCCTTCTCTGACACTGTGAGAATTACAAGGTATGGTTGGTTTACTTCCTATTCCTCACAGACCAGATTCCATTTCCCATCGCCATGCCTCTGAAAAGGCTGTCCCGCTGGCCTGGAATGCACTGTCTCCTCAGATCCAACTCACAGCAGTCTTCGCTCCTTTCAAGGTTCAGGTGAAGTAATACATCCTACAGGACGTCTATCCTGACCCTTCCAGTTGCTAGGGCCTTTCCCAGAAATTACTTGCCAGATTTCATATTTAATTTCTGTGTATATATATATTATTGCCTACCTTGTTCCCCTTGAGGATGGGTGACTTATTTTTGTCTTTGTACCCCAGTACCTAGCATATAGCAGGAACATCACAGGTGCTTAATAAAAGCTTGTTGCATGAAGAGTAACAGTCCCCATTTGTGCATTGCTTTAGTGGTGGAAAACTTAGCCCTCATCAGATTTGGTTTGAAGATCCCAGCTAATGACTAGGGTGGTGGTAGTAAAATGGTAGTAAAGTGGATTGTGTGAATGACTGTCATTGCTGAGGACTTTGGGGAGCCATTCTTCTCTTCTCCCTCCCAAATCTTCTTGCCAGAGTTCTGAGCAGTCAATCAATCAGCATTTAAGTACTTACTGGCTTAGTCTGTGCCCTGTACTATTTGAGTCGGAGGAGCTACAAATCCAAAGAATGAATCCATCATTAGTCCCTAGCAACAAAGTTGACCTAGTTATTACAGTGTCTTGGCTAACCGTCCCTAAATCGTGAAAACTTGACTGTCAAAATCCTCCATATTCCCCTGAGTCAGGGAACTTCATTCATAGCTTCTACCCAGACCTGCAGCTTTTTGGGGCGGAATCCTGTGGGTCTACTCTGGGTGTTATGAAGAAGGAAACCCAGAGGAGAAGGTCCCCAGTGAAAGCTACTCCATCAGTCTTAGGAAGTTCTATTCTATGTCTTCTGAGCAAAGAGGCCTTTCTTTGCCACCTGCAAACGGTCACAGAGAGCAATTAAGCATGAGATAGTCTGGACTGGGGTGTGGGGAAGAGGATGGATCATTTCCTACCAGCTCAATCAATCTCCACACTGTTCTGTCCTTCAGAGCTCATTTGAGGAGTGGTGCTTGGTTGATTCACTAAGGCCAATGTTTTCAGGTGTTTCTCCACACTCCACTAATTCATCCCAAAGCCTATACTCTATAGTAGGGGTGGGGAACCTTCTGCCTTGAGGCCTCATGTGGCCCTCTAGGTTCTCAAGTGAGACCCTTTGAGTGAATCCAAACTTCACAGGACAAATCCGTTTAAAAGGATTTGTTCTGTAAAACATGGACTCAGTCCAAGGGCTTCACTTGACCTAGAGGGTCCTGTGTTCAATATTAGTTTTTAAACAAAGCTATGCTGCTTTGTATATAAGTTTCTTCCTATTTGGGTCATCTAATTTCAAGAGTAAGTAATATTTTTTATATTTTCTTTTTAACTTTTGACAATGTACTTGTAGACATGATTTCTAGTTAGCTTTCTTTTTAAAAAAAATTTTAAAAGAATTTTATTGCTATCTTTTGTTTTTGTCCTCACTTCCAGAACCTATTCTCCCCCCTTCCCCCAGGGAGCCATCGTCTCGTAACAAGAAACAAAAAAAAGAAAGAAGGAAAAAAACTCAGCTCATCCATAACTGATCAGCTACAAGCGACAGTATCTGCAACAGGGACATGTGATTTCTCTTTCCATAATCCCTTTAAGATATTCTGACCCAAATGTCCCTTTAGCATCTTTAGCACATAGAGGGCCTCAGAGTGACTGTGGGATAAACAGACAGCTGCCTAGCTCTACTCCAATGCCTGAGTCTTAGTCACAAATTGACTGAAGCTATTCAGTCTCTGCCTCTCACCACCTCCAGTCCCTTCACCTCCCATCCTACTCGGTTCATTTGTTCCCATCATTCCAATAGCCAAAAAAAAAAAAAAGGTCAAGGTGCACTTTCAAAAGGCAAGACCGAACCATTATCTCAAAAGAGAAGTGTCCCTGGAAATTTTTACTTAAACCTCAAAAGTGAGCTCAAGTAGATGGACCTGAAGGAGAGGAGGGGGGAAAAAAAGAGATAGCAGAGGAACCAGACAGAAAGGGAGGTTTTGAAAGGCCCGGTAAAAGAGTGTCATGGGACAAATCATTCAGTCAACAACTAACCAGCATTTATTAAGCACCTACTACATGCCAAGCACTGTGCTGGTACTGGGGATATAAAGACAAAAAAATGAAACAGTCCTTCCTCTCACAGAGCTTGCACTGAATCAGGAAGACAGCATGTGTGAGAGATGGCCTCCATAGGGCAATTCACACTTGCTAAACAAGTATATTTAAAGAGAAGAGGATGCTTGTTGGATGAATTTTGAATAAATAACAATACTACTAACACATGTGTTGCATTTTAATGCCAGAAACTCTTCTGGCTTCTCCCTACCATGCCTGGGAGCTTCAGGCAGGCCCACACACTCACACTCACTCACTCACACTCACACTCACTCTCTCTCTCTCTCTCTCTCCCCTAAGAAATAGTGGGAAAAGTAGTGGACTTGGGGGTTGGGCCTGGGTTCAGTGGACACTAGTTGTATGATCAAGGCAAGTCATTTAACTAATGGCTCCAAGCCTCAGTTTCCTCAGCAAAATGGGCATAATTCTTTCAGATCAAAATCTATGAAATTTGTACTATTTAACCTTGAAAAGTTATGCTGAGCAGGTAAGAGCTAAAAATAGAAAGTACTACACCTCTCAGGAGGTCAGTTAGGTGATGCAGGGGATAGAGAACTGGGCCTCGAGTCAGGTTCAAATCCAGCCTTAGAACTTACCAGTGGGGTGACCCTGGGCAAGTCACTTCACCCTGTTTGCCTCAGTTTCCTCATCTGTAAGAGAAGCTGGAGAAGGAAATGGCAAACCACTTCAGTATCTTAGCCAAGGAAACCCCAAATGGGGTCATGGAGACGGAAATGACTGAAGAACACCCTTCAGGAGCTTTGTTTCTCTGAACCTAACTCAGCTTTCCCAATTCAGGCCACTTTGGTTTTAACAGCAGACTGACTTATTAACATTGATGCTGAAACTTGAAACACCTCACACTTTCCCAATCACCTGCTCCTCACCAGGATGTCGCACTGCCGTAAACACCTTCACACGATGCTGTCCTGCCCTTATGCTCCCCGAACACCCAGCACACTCCTTGGCTCCCAGGGCCAAAGAGGCACCCATTCAACTGTCACCTGACCTAGGCATTTGCTCAAGGTGCACCAGGAGTAGAGGCCTCCAGAGTAAGAATGCCCCAAAGCAGCTCCCTGAGGAAACCAGTGTCTAAGGCTTGTGGCGCCCCGAGGCAGCAGATTTTTACCAAGACCAAATGACTGCGAGACTTTTGCGAAGCTTCGAACAGGGCACAGTATGAGAACGTAGTACACTCTGTTTGGAAGGAATGGAGTAAATATCCGAGAGGAGGGAGAGGCCCTCTCAAGTCCCTCCAGGTGAAATAATGCTTTCCCCCAGAGAAGGTGGAGACGCCATAACTCACATCAGGAGGAAACGGGGGTGGGGGGAGGACCTAGAGTTTGGGTTGTCCACCCCCAAGCTGGCTGGTGAGCCGAGCAGGCTGAGGGGAGAGGTGGGAGGCGTGGGCGGCCGCACCAAGGCCTTTCACCAGGTGAAGACAAAAGAGTGGAGGCTGGGAATGAGAAAGGGGTTTGGATGGAGAAAGAGAGGGAAATCCAAGGGTGAAGAGGAACCCTAGGAGAAAGTCGCAGGCGAGCGGGCGAAGAGGACTCCGTACGCAAAGGAGCCCCATCTCTCCGTCGCTGGGTCGGTGTGCCCAAGCAGCCGGGATGCGGATGCCCGAGGTGATCCGGGAGTGGGTCCCCGGTACTCTGGGAGGCAGGAGAAGCTCCAGTGGTCTCTGCCCCTTCTCGCCTCAGGGTGCTTCCCACTCCCCTTGTGCCCTCCCCCCTCCCCTTCTGCCCGCCCCTTTCTTACCATCTGCGCCACCTTGAGCAACGCGGGGTAGGTGGTGGGGTAACCGCGGGCCAGCAGCCCCTCGGAGGGGCCTGGGACTGGGGCCGGGCCCGGTGGGGGCGCGCCCACTCCGAAGATACCACTGCTGCTGCATGTGGTGCGAATGACCCCGGGGCCGTGAGACATGGCGCCGGGTCTCTGGGTCCGTGGGTCCATCTGCCAGGCGCGGCTGCAACCCCGGCCCCCGCCTGCTTGCCGGCCAGCCTGCCTGCCAGTTTAGGACTCCGGGACCTGACTAGACGCCCGAAGGAGGGGCAGGGGCCTGGGCGGCCCGCCCCAGGGAAGGGCGGGGTCGGGGCGGTCCCTCGGACAGGTTACTGGGGGGCCTGGGACTGTGTGGGGTTAGCCTGCCCCTGGCAGGGCCGGCTTTGTTCTTGGCTCTGACTCTGACTTTGACCCTGGCCCGACCCTGGCTGGGCTTGAGGTTGGGGGGTGAGGCGGGTCAGGACCCTCAGTTCCTCAGACGGCCGCCCCTTCTGCTTCGGAGCCTAGCAGGGGGCGGGGTTAGGGGAGGAAGAGCCGGGGCTGGCCAGGGCGGAAAAGGATCCAGATGTGGACTTGGAGGGGGTAGGGGGCGGGAAGAGCAGCTGAGAGAGGGGTGGCTGCCGCCTGTCCTATCCCAAAATGAGCCCCAAAGTCCGAGCCTCTGGAATCCTTGGGAGAGTTGGATGGGACAGCAGAGGCCCCAAAGTGCCAGCCTGCCGGTACCGCTTCACGCGCAACGGAGACTGTGGCTTTTGGGATTCCCCCCACCCCGAGCTAGCCTGGGACGTAGCCTCAGGGAACAGGAAACTTGCGCCTGTTCTGGCCAATTGCTCTTAGGGGAGATGGAATGCGCCAATGGGGTGCAGGCCCCAGGCGGTCTCCAAATTTTCCTGGAGGGCGAGAGTTTCCTGCCCTACCGAACAAATTCGGGCCCCGCCTCCCCACGACTTCTTACATTCGGGGCCTTACGCCGGATATTTGTACCAATGGGGCCCCAGATGAAGCCACTTTAAAATGTAAGTAGTTGGGGAGTGGAGACGAGGAGAGGAGGCTTCTATATGGGGCTCCCAAAAGGTCCCTCCCTGCCAATCGTCCTGAGTGATTTCATGTGATGAGTCTTAGGGACAGTAGAAATCACATATGACCTGCAGGTACCCGTATACTCCACATTGTTTGTAGCAGCAGTTTTGGGGGGATAGCAGAGAACTGAGAGCTAAGCTGGTGCCCATCAGTGGCGGGGAGGGGAGTGAGAGGGAGAGCGGAGAGGAGGGTGGGAAAGGTTGAACAAGATGCAGTGGAACGTGGAGATTATGATTTGGAGCTGGAAGATCTAAGAGGGCATTGATTTCCGCCCCCATCGTTTTCCAGAGTAGGAAACAGGATCCGGGAAGTTCCATGTTGTGAGAGGTCACACACAAGTGCCTGGGTTGGGATTGTGAAGCCGTGTCTTTTTCACTCCAGATCGAGTGCTTGGTCCTCTCTGCCGCGCTGCCACTCCAGATTAAGAACCCCCGGTAGAAACAAGAAGATAAAGCAAACGGAGAAGACAGCCAACTCTGATGAAAGTCGGTGACCGGTCTTGATCGCATCCCTGTTCTCAGTGAAGAGATGGTGACTGGGGTTTCAGAATGTTGTGTTCTCCATCAGACTGGGTAGTTGTTTTTGCTCTTTTTTTGTACTATAAGGGATTATTCTGGAATGCAAGGCTTGAACATGATTCTGTGCTTGTTTTAAGCATCAATGAATCATTTTTTAAAATATGGCCAGCAGTTTTTTCAGGAGGCATGGGGTAGGGGGGAGGCCTTCACACTGTGTAAGGAACCTCTAGTATGGATATTTCTTCCAGAACCCATACTATAGAAGCTTAGAGAATTTAAGGGGTCAGTAAGAGGTCAAATGACTTGACCAGGACCAAGCAGCTAGTACAGACATGGGGGACATGCAGCCTCAAGGTCCACATGTGGCCCTCTAGGTCCTCAAGTGCAGACAGAATGAATGTCATTCCCCACCCCTGAGCGAAATGTCAGAGGCATGATTCAAGATTAAATCTTCCTGAAGCCCAGCCCACCTTTATCCACCAAACCCAGTGGTTCTCCAACACTTCCACAGTCATAGAACCTTTTAGTTTAAACAAAACTTTGACAGAACTTTTGTTCTTTGACAGAACTCTAAAATTGTTTAATGCCTATTAATGAATAACAAGGATGATGTAAAAAAAATTGGAGGTGTTTCAGGGTTTTCCAAAGCACTGATTGCAAACCACCAAATTAAACTGTGTTGCCCCTCCTGTAATTTGTAGTCTCAGAAAGTTGTCTGGGTACTGAATTGTTAAATGACTTGTCCAGGGTCACAGGAGTAGTAGGTGTTAGAGACAAGTCTTGACTTGAAGGCTTGCCTTCTATGCCACACTGCCTCTCTCAAACCAGCAGGAATTGTGGCAACACATGAGACGTGGAGAACCATTGTGCTTTTCACGAGCATCCCTCATAATTGTTTTACTAGGAGTGGTCAAGACTTTTGGGCATTAGAAATGAGGTGGGATTGGCTACAGCACATAGTGTGTCCATGCCGAAATCTTTTTGGCTGCCCGTTGGTTGAGAGAGTCCCAGACGGGGATGCTGAATTACTGGGCATTATTGTGATCTTTTTGACATCAGTATTCCACTGGGGATGTTGGGTGACTGTGAGTCATAGGGACTGCACAGTCATCTCCAAAGCATAACAACTGGAGACAGGACTTTGTCTTGAAGACTTTCCTAATCCACAGCACCTTTCATAATATGGTAGTCTCTTCCACATCTGACAACCTGTCAGTGAAGGAGTTCATAGAAGAGATGTCCTTGGGCAAGTGTTGACTGTTCTGAGGTGCTGCAGATGAGCCAGGGGGTGGGCTATGGAGCATGCTTTCTGTTTCACCCAAATTCTCCCCACCCCCATGGCTAGCCAATATCACTCTCGGTACAGAATCAGTACTCAATACTTTCTGGCTCCCTCATTTTGGTATTTTTATTCAGCTGGCATTTGTGGTCTAACTCTTTACTGAAGTCCCCCTCCCATGCATCATCATAGTGTGGTGACCATCATGGTCCTCTGAGGGGATTGCTAACGGAAAGCAAGCCCCTGCAGGCTCTACACAGCTGAGGAGGCTTCAGACTCAGGCCCTGGGACGGGTAGCATATCTCTTATCTGGAGGACTAACCTAGCTTCATACAGGCTTGTCACTAAAAAGGCTGGCCTGTAGGTGATGAATTTCTTTTCAGCTTGCGCAAAGTAGGGAACAGATGAAATATACAAGCTAGCACTCTATCCTGTGCAGTCCCCTGTATTTCTGTGAATATGGCCGTAGTCAACATGGTAATAGGTAGTGGTGGTTGCATTTGAACCCGTGTTTTCTGGTTTGAAATCAGAGGCAGGATCAAAATCTATATCAGTGTTCATGCTCTTGCTTCAGTTCCTCTAGATTTACTTGCACCATTGCCTAGAGGGGACCTCTCCTTAGAGGTGTGATTGAAAACTCAAATGAATGCTAAAATAAATAAAATCCCTCTAGCATATCTACTCTTTCCTCTTATGTTTTATTGTCAAGTGTTCATTGACCGAATCATTCTTTTGTAGGGTGCAAACCAGAAATACTCAATGTTGAGTAATTAATTGCCTAAAGGACTTTATTGATTTCCAGTGAAAGGGTAAGCATGTCAAATTAAAACTACCCAACTCCACCAACAAAAATAGAAAAAAGTTTTAGAAGGACCATGAGGTGAATACAGATGGTGAGTACAGATGGCAAAGAGTTAAAGCACACGGTGTATTATTAATAGGATCTGAGAATTAATTCTTTTATTTTTTTAAGAAGGAGGGGATGGGAGTAATTATTTAGTCCACTATCTTCAATTCACAGATAAGGAAACTGAGACCCAGGGAGAAGAAGTCACTTGCCCAGGTTCACAGAGCTATTTAGGAGCACATCCACTGATTTGGAATTCTCTAAGAAAAAATTTTTGCAAAAGTCTTTCAACTTCCCACTGCCCGAGTAATCCCTAAGTCAGGCAACTTCACATCTTAAATTGATCCTGGTGTTGGGATGGTTTGGGGTTTTGTTCTGAAGGGTTTGTTGGTACTGTTACAAAGACAAAGTCTCCTTCCTTCCAAACTCAAACCAGAAGTAATTCAGAGCCCACTTTGAATAATGGAAAAAGTTATTGGAGAATCATAAGACAAATGCTTTAATCACCTAAACACCACACTGTTGAAAAGTATTCGTGAACCATGCCTCTCAACACTCAAAAGAGGAAATTCTAATTTCCTTTCAGTTAAAAATAAACACCTATTTCCCCGTGTGGCTTTCTGTAGTGCACAAAGCCAGAGCCCACAGAGACTCAAGATATTCCAAGGCACAAAGTCAACCATCATTTTTCAGCAAGGCAAAACCAAGCCTGTGGTCTTCTGGACTATGGATCGGTCATAAAGAGTTGCCATTCCCAGAGAGACCTAGAAGCCTTGGGCTGTGGGCAGGACAGGCCTGAGGGTTGGTGCAGGACACTTGTCCCCCTAGGGTCATTACTCTGTATTACTGGTCAACGTTTCAGCAGCTGTCCCTTCAGACAAATGCACGTGGAAGACATCTGCCCAAACACACCTGGACACATGTACACCCCAAACCAGGAAAGTGAAACCCAGCTTCTGTCTAGGACTGCTCAGTGTGCAGCACCCCAAAAGCCCACATTTTGGTGCCCATGGAGCTTGCTGGCCCCAGCAAGTAAAAGGAGAGCTTCCTGGATCAGGGAGGAGGGAAAGAAAGAGCTTCAGCAATTATGGGGATCATAGAACCTTAGAACCAGAAAGATCCTTAGAGGAGAGTCCATAGAAGGGGCAGTAATTTGGGGATCAGAGATCTCCAGGATTTGCAACCAGATTTGTGTCTCTGTTTCTTTCCCCGCTCTAGGACTCAGTTTCTTTGTTTATAAAATATGGGGACCGGACCAGATCTCCCCTGAGATCCCCTCCCACTCTACAGCTGTTATTCTTTGATCCAACAGGCCAACCCCTCAAGCATTTTAACAGGCCAGGAAACTGAGAAGGGAAGCAGTTCTTCCAACACCCAGAGCTAGTTGGTGGCTGCCAAGCTGAATGCAGCTCTCCTGACTCCCAGGCCACCGTACCACACCCCTTCCAAAACAGCTGTGTCCTCAGACGCCCTTCAGTCAGTCATGCTGAACCCAGGCATTCAAAGGAGTGGGGGACCAGCATTCAGCACCCTTGTTTCTCAGTGTCATTGCCTGCCATTTCTTCTTTGACTTGGCCCATAAGAAACTAACACTTCCTCATGGAGACCTGCAGGAGAAGCCCGGAGTGCATGAAGTAAATGGGTACAATTTGTCTCACAGAGCGAATAAATGGAACATGGGCAGGGTCTTGTAGAAACACACGAATTAGCAGAAAGGATCAGCTTTGCTCAGAACCTGGTTTAAATTTTGTTGTTCCATCACAGAGAATGATTTTCCTGTATTCTCAAAGAAATGGAAAAAATAAACACCTCAAGGGGAAAGGGGCACACCCCAAGACACATTTGCCCTGAGGACAAACCTGACTACATGAAAGCACTTCCCCCAAGTCAGTATCACCGGGGTGGAGGTGGGGTCTGTTGCCTCCCTTTTCTTGACTTTATTAATAAGAGTATCATGGAATCCTAGGCGTTTAAGGCCCTCTGTGATCTGGCTCCCACCTGCCTTCCCAGGCTACTTGTGTTCCTCTGTACTATTCAGGTCACACTGACTTGCGAGGTATCTGCCATATAGGACATCCCGTCTCCAGTGAGTCTCTGCCCCAATGTCCAAATGTGCTTCCTCTCCTTGTTTCCACCTAAGAAAATCTCCCCCTTCTACACACAGCTTAGCTGCCATCTGCTCCATGAAGCCTTTGCTGATGTAGCCAGTTGTTAACGCTTTCTTCTTTTGAAAATGATATTCTTTTAATGTACTTTGTATTTACTTGTGTGTCCCCACTGCCCCCCCCAGTAGAATGTAAACTCAAGAGTAAAGAGTGCTTCGTAGAGGCAGCTGGGTAGTGCAGTGGATAGAAGAGATGGACAAGGGATCAGGAAGACCCGAGTTCTAATGCAGCCTCAGACACTTACTAGCAGTGTGACCCTGGGCAAATCACTTAACCTCTGTTTGCCTTGGTTTCCACAACTGTAAAATGGGGATAATGAAATACCTACCTTGTAGGGTGGTTATAAGGATCAAATGAGATTATATTTGTAAAAAGCACTTAGCACACTGCCTGGCACATAATAGGAACTATATAAATGCTTATTCCCCTCACTCCTACTTTTTTGGTCGTTACTGCCTCGCACATAGTAGGTGCTTAATAAGTGTTGAATTTGACATGAGCTCGTTTTGGACTCCTTCCTTGGTGGACTTGGGAAGCTTCTGGACCCCTTCTTAGAGAGTTTGTAAAAAAAAAAATGCTAAGTTTCAGTTGGAGGTTGGTGAAAATAAAGGCCTAATTTTTCCCCCATCCAAGTTCACAGACTCCTACCTAACCATGGACCCCAGGTTAAAACCCCCAATCTCAGCTAATTCTCTCATTTTTTCAAGGTTAGGGAACTAAGGCCCAGAGAGGCAGTGGCTTGACAAGGTCAATGACTAGCCTTATACAAGTTCCTGGAAATAGACCGCCTCTGCTCCCCGACTCCCTGGCGTCGGACATCGAGCGTGATGCCTCTTCACAGAAGGCTGAACAGCCCGGGTCCTGGAGACAAAGTTCTGACCCCTTTTGGCTACTCATTCACTCTGGTTTGGTGGTTGTTAACACTTGAAAAGCCAGCCTCAGTTTGTGTGTGGGAATGTGTGTGGGTGTGGAGGGAGGGGCTGGCTTTTTCACCCAAAGCAAGAAGGTTCTGAAAGGAGAAGCCTTCCCAAACAAGGGGGCCACAGGCATGCCCAGCGCATTTCATTAGGAGAAATGCCCGAGGAATTTTATTTTATTTTTGCACTCAATTGTTTATTGACTACTCAATCATGCAGGATATTATTTTTATTTGTTTTTGTCTACCTCTCTACTGATACAAAATTCTTTTTAAAAGAAAAAGATTACCTTTATTTCATCTTCACAGTGGATAGAGGTTAGAACGCTGGACGTGATTTAGGAAGCCCTGAGTTCAGATCCTCTCAGATTCCTATTAGCCCCTTCAGGGCCTGTATCCTCATCTGTAAAATGGGGATAATAATAGCACTTACCTCCTGGGGTTGTTGTGAGGATCAGTGAGATAACGTTTGTAAGGTGCTTTGCAAAGGTTGGAGCGTTGGGTTAATGTGAGTTATATCATTAGGGAGTACAAGGATTATGATGTTCTTTCTATGGATGAAGAACCCGGGTTTAGAAGACTAACCCAAGGTCACACGGTAAGGGGCCTGGCCAGGACTTGAACGCAAGTCTGAACTCCGAGGCCAAATCCACAGGGGATGTGGTAGAAGGACTTCTTGGTCGGGAATGGCTTGGATCACCTCAGTAGGCCCTTCTGACTCAGTCTCTATGATGAACCAGCTCCAATCACCCACTATTTAACATAGATCGAGTTTTCCTTACTGTGGGTTTCCCTTGCTCTAAGGTGCCATTTTTTGGAAAAATCCCCACCATATCCCCAGTGGTACATAGTAGGTGCTTTAAAAGTGCTGGATGATGGATTGATTGAATTCCCATTTCAGATGGAAAGCTCTAAGGGCAGAGACTCTTTTCCTTTCAATCTCCAGAATCATCCAGTCGTGGGTTGGTTTGTTTGTTTTTTCGGCTGAGCAATGGGGTTAAGTGAGTTGCCTGGGGTCACACAGCTAGTAAGTGTTATGTGTCTGAGGTCAGATTTGAACTCAGGTCCTCCAGACTCCAGGGCTGGTGCTGTATCCACTGCGCCACCTAGCTGCCCCCCAGTTGGGTTTTAAAGTGGGCTTTAAAAAAATGTGTTGTCAAGACTAATTAGATCTTGCAAACCCGACTATGAGAATCTAGGTTTCCTTTGGATGACGAAAATCTTTCACTCCCCAACCTGCTCACTTTATTTATAGATTGGGAGATAAGAAGTCCATCAAAGCCTGATGGCTCTTTATCATTTATGTAGGACAACAGTAGTGGAATGTAACTCAGCCAGCCCTGCTGAGCCAGTGGGGAGCAGGGTCCTTACACAGGAGGGAAAGTAAGCTGGGGAAACGGGTTCTAGGATTGTTGTTCAGCCTTCCTTCTCAAAGAGGACCAGCCACATCACAAGAGTGATGTCTTGACTTGTGGGGAAACATATCACTGCGTGAACCTTTTTTTCTATCCTTTCCTGGATCTGTTGACTAATCTTCTGATGCAATTTGGTAAAGCAAAGGAAGCTAGGTGGCTTGATAGAGTGTTAGACCTGAGTTCAAATCCCGCTTCGGTGTCTTGCTAGATGTATGATTCTGGGAGTTACTTATCCTTTCAGCCTCAGTTTCCTCAACTGTAAAATCAAGATAATATGAGCACCCACCTCACAGGGTGGTTGTAAGCTTTAGATAACATGTAAAGTGCTTTGTAA